ACATCCGTGGCTCTACTTGCGGGGGGGGAGGGGATTTCTACCCAGGAGAATTCCAGGATGAGCCATGAGCTCACTGCAAGAATTCAGATTCGGTCAAGGCTGCATCCACATCACACCTAAGGGAATTTGAGCAACAGATTCATCCTAGGCTGCATCAACGGAGGGAGAGGATCAAGATCACGTGAAGGGTTAATGCCACTTTATAAGGCCTTGGTGAAGCCACACTTGGAATACGGCATCCAGTTTTGGTTGCCACGGTGTAGAAAAGATGTGGAGACTCTAGAAAGAGAGAAGAGAAGAGCAACAAAGAGGATGAGGGGACTGGAGGCTAAAACATATGATGAACAGTTGCAGGAATTGGGTGTGTCTAGTTTAATGCTTCAGAAAAACTATGGGAGATAGGATAGCAGTCTTCCAATATCTCAGGGGCTGCCCCAAAGAAGAGGGAGTCAAGCTATTCTCCCAAGCACCTGAGGGTAGGACAATTTCCCGACAGTGAGAACAATTAATCAGTGGAACTACTTGCCTCCAGAAGTTGTGAATGCTCCAACACTGGACGTTTTTAAGAAGATGTTGGATATACATTTTTCTGAAGCGGTGTAGAGTTTCCTGCCTAAGAAAGGGGTTGGACTAGAAGACCTCCAAGGTCCCTTCCAACTCTATTATTCTGTATATAAGAGAACAGAGCGCTGGGAAAATCAGGGAGATCCAGGCAGTTCAAATGAGTGTAAAGATTTATTGCAAGCTTAAAATTTCTTTACAAGGATGGGAACTACTAACCAGGTCAATGAAAAAGGGCAGTAGATAAAGGCAGAAGGAATTCAAAATGGGTCCCCTGTTTGCGTGGGGAAGCTCAAGAGCTGGTTTAATGTAAACCATCCAGTTGGCAATTCCAGAAAAAAGAAACTCCCGGGGCATCATTTTACCAAGAGTATAAACTTTACTGAATAAATCCACATCGACATAGAAGAAGCAAAACCAGCTCTGAGCTCCCCGCGCGAATGCAGTTCATTTCCCTACGGGACACTCACAGTCCGTTACGTCCACCAATCATTTCTGTTCATTTTGTTTTGGGAACCAGCAGATCACACTGTGGTGGCATCTGCTCTGGGTATCTCGGGGGTGGGGGGGGGTGGGAGCACTTAGAAGGCCATTCCCCCCATCCTTGCTTTCCAACCCCATCCCTCATTCTTTGTCCCGCTGCGAGCAGGTGAAAGTTTCAGTCAGTCTTGTCCGTGGGCTCTGGCGGGCACCAAACGATTCATGACTGATGACGCGCCATTAATTACAACAACGGGGGGCAGGGGAAGGTCAGGAGTGGAGAGAAGTCAGCAAATTGGCGTCCTGGGACTCCTCGGATAGCCATCAGCCAATCCATCTGATCCTAAGCATAGATTATTTGTTTTGCGCCATCGACTTTCTATCTCCGGGCAATTTGTTGGCGCACACATCGATGGCTTCGCGTCCAGCCTCACAGCCCAAATGTGTGGTCTGTGGGATTTTTTTAAAAAAAGCAAGTGAAAAATAACAACAACAACCAAAAACACAAAGAAGTGGACCAGTCTGCTCTGCTGTTTACCAACTGATCAAGTTGAGAATACTAAAGCTTTCCACTCGGTGGGAGGAGAAGTAGACCATCCAGGTCAGGGGTCGGCAACCTTAAAAACTTCAAGAGCCGCAAATGTCCTAACCTGAAGCCCCCCTTTCAAGTCTGGAGCCGACCGGAAGTCCGGTTCCCCCACCATAGAGTCTCTTCCTAGCGTGGCGTCCTTTTTCCTCTACCTGTCCTAACCGAAAGACCTATCAATTGTGGAGCCGACAGACGATAGGGAGCTGCAGCAGAGGGATGGAAAAGCCACATGCAGCTCCGGAGCCGCAGATTGCTGACCTCTATTTTATACGGCTCGTCCTGACTAATCCAGGCGAAGCTCTCTCCTATGACTGCTCATCTAGCAGGCAGACACACACACACACACACACACACACACACACACACACACACACACAAACACCCATGTCAGGTTACATGTTGAGCTCCACCGACTTGGAACCGAGCACCAAATGCTACTCAGCGGCCCTCTGTAAATCGTCTCCCTTGGCCAGCCGATCTCGCCTTATTTAACCCGGAGACTCCTCAAGCTGACAGCTGCACAAATTGCTGCATGTCCTCGGAGAGCATGGGGCAAGGCCCCTCTTGCAAGTCCAGGGCACTGCCAACCTCCTTTGCTCACTGACTCTGGAAGACAAGGAATAGCTCAGCTCCTCTCTTTCTCCGCCAACTCTGGCCGATATCTACAGACCCCTCTGGTTAGGCTCTGCAACCGAACAAGACAGGCACAGACTTCAATGGATAATTAGAACTGTAGAAAAAGCAACTGCTACCAACCTGCCTTCCACTGAGGACCTGCCCACTGCACGAGTCAAAAAGAGGGCTGTGAAAATATCTACACACCCCTCACATCCTGGACATAAATTGTTTCAACTCCTACCCTCAAAACAACGCTATAAAGCACTGCACACCACAACAACTAGACACAAGGACAGTTTCCCCCCCCGAAAGCTGTCTCTCTCATAAATAAATAATTCCCTCAC